TCTTGCCTTCTTCCTTCCTTCCTTAGGTCCACACTAAGGCATTTTTCTTCTCGTACTTGCAAATGGGGAGAACAGAGCAATAAAATATATCTTTTAAAGTAACCACAGCTTTTTGTGTGACAGGAGGTGGCTTTTCGAGCCAAGAGGTTCCCTGGCAGCCGACACAACTGTGCCCTGGGCAGGCCACCCTGCTTGTGGCGGGCACCCGTTTGTGTTGGTGTCACTCGAGTTAAAACGTGCATCGTGCAGGGGAAAATGCGTCTAGAATGGACCCGCAAGCCTCAGGTCCTGGACGGCTCACTGCCAGCTCTGGGGAGCCTGCGGCCGCGACCCTACAAAGCTCGTTCCCAAGGGGTCAGCACGGGCTGGGAACGCTGGTGAGTGACGGCTGTGCTCTGCCCCAGTGGGCGCTGTCAGACCCGCTCGCTGGCCTGGCTGGACCGCGAGGATGCCCAGGAAGGGAGCTGCCGTGCCCGTCTGCTTAACCACACCATCGCCACTGGCCCACAGGCTCTCCCAGCAGGGTGACAAGGCTCAGTCAAGCGAGCCTCACACCTCCCACCAAACTCAGGGCACAAAAGGGGATGGCAGTCACGGAGCAAAAGGTGGTGCTTCCTGCAGGCAGGAAGTGTGGGGCTGCAGGTGAAGCGTGTGCTGGAGCCTTTACTACTCCCCCCGAGACCCAAACACAGGTGCCAACACTGGGATCCGGGCTGGAGGGGAAGCCCACCCGTCACTCTGCAGGGGCGTGCGAACATCTGGGTTCACTTCTCCTTGGATGTCTCCTTCAACGTTTCCTGGAAGCAGAGCTGCCTTACTTAAAACTATTTTTTCAAAGAGACCATGGATTCCGACCAAGTTGCAGAACCATGAAAAATGCTTATGATACATGAAATGAAAAATGGACACATGGTAGTGTATGGACTGATCACAGCTATTCAAACGACACACAGAACACGCAGAACTTGCGGCCGTGGCATCACGGCCCACTGATTTTCCCACTTCAGTCTTTTATTACAATGTCAGAATACAAATCTCTTCTGAACAATTGTAAAAATTATTTGTAATGCTTAAAAAAACTTAAAAGGAGATGAAACTCCCACCCAAAACAAAACAGAGCATACTTTGACCCTGTCTGCTCAGTTCCGAGTCACGCAAAGCAGGGAACGTGGATGAGACAAGAGGTCACCCGACCTTCTCACGGGCCCACCCATCAGACACCTGCGTCAACGCCACAGGCCGCAGCAGAGGGGAAAACCCGAGGGGCTGGGGGACAGTCCCCTCCCTTGGAGAAACCACCACCCCGGTCCTTGCAGGAGGGTCGGAGAGTGTCTCGTGCACCCGAGGAAGATGTGTGTGGACGGCTCTGAGTGGAAGAAAACGAGCGCTACAGCATCAGAGTGGAAACTGCAAGACTTTATTAACACACCTTTGAAATTACATAAAGTTCAAACACATTTTTTGGTACGAAGTCACACAAATGATACACACAACAATACATTTGCTTTTCAACTACGTCACTACTATTCTTCACACATATTCCTGAAAAAGTTACCGCAGCCATGAACGCAAAGTGAACAACGGGGTAAAACAAGGCAACGTCATTTCCACAAACGTGAATGTCGGGCATTCGGCAGAAAACAGGAAGCAGATCACACCCAGGGGAATGCAATCCAGTCATCTCCATTTCTGCACTTTCAACGCACCCCCAGTCAACACAGCGCTACCCCCCACCAGAGCTGCACCCAGATGCGGCACAGAGCGCGTGCGCAGCACGGTTAGGGAGGCCACAGGCGGCGAGCGCGGTAACAAGGTCGGACGGCCATCGCTTCCGAGCGGAATGAGCGGCGCGCTACTACTAACACTGAACCCATGCACAAGAGGTCCTGCAAAAGTAGAGAGCGAGAAACAGAAGGGGTGATTAATGCACGCCAACCGCACGCCGCGGGACGCTGGCAGCTTTGCATCGCCAACTCCTATAGAGCCAAACTGCAAAGTAACAGAATCAAAATGTTATTCTCCCCGTCAGACCTGAAGGAATAAATCGTGAGTCAAGACCTGTCAAAGCAAAGGTTTAGAGGTGATCAAGTCGTAAGCACGGTCCTAAAACACCGCAAACACCCTCCGCCCAGAGCGGGGCTCTGCACTGAACACCAAGCGGAGGAGGGATGCAGCCCCTCGGCGGCCGGACGCAGCAGCAGGGCGGGAGAGCGGTGCGGGAATCGAGGGAGCCAGGAAGTGAGAGGCAGCGAAGGGTCTCAGCATGGGAAGGAGAGGTCGGTGTCCGGATGGTGGGCAGGTTTGAGCCAGGAAAGCAAAACAGAAGAGCAAGGAGAGGAAGAGAGCCCAGCATGGCGTGGCCAAGTGGTCCCGTTACGGAAGGAACAGTCTCAAGAAGAGAACAGAAACGTCCAACAAACAGAACCAGCTCAAAAATGAAAAAACAGACTTTGTGCTTTGTCGTCGTTATACCTGAAAATTAAATAGCAGAATTAAAGCCTAAGAGTTAAAATCCTCACAGAGGAAACCTTTCTGGATCCCACACCTGTGAAAAGCAAAGCTGGATTATAAAAATGAGTGATTATTGCTCCTGGGTTGATCGCGAAACATGTGCGTGCATGCTATTTTAAAATTGTACATCGTCTAAGAAAATACTGTAGGATGCATAAAGCCTAAAGTCCTTTAAAAATCCACTTCCACTACATGGCCCTTAAAATGAAGAGTAGTTTAAAAGAAAATCATGCTAAGAGAATGTCATGAGTCTGACTTTCTAGAGTGTATTAAATTATTAAATACAGAATAGATTAAAAACAGTACCTGTCTGCTTGTCCACTCTGTGGAACATATTAAAGTAAAAACTACATGACATTTCTTTTTAAAGGCCCTATATTTTTCTACATACCTTTTAAAATTAGTAAACTAAAAACAAGCAAAACACCAAGCATGAAGACCTCTGTATATTTTAGTTGGTTAGAAGCAAAAGGAAAAAGTACTCAAGAAACGTCTCACTAAAAATACCTGTTCCATCCACCCGTCAAAATTTAAAGATTTCCTACCAAAACATGACACAGAAAAGAGAGAGCTGAGGTATCTAAAACATCCTCTAGAAGAGACAGGTGACAGCGTGTGGGACAAATGGCCCTTCCAACCACACACTGCCACGAGTACACCTGGGATCCAATATGAATCAGTGGGTTCTGCTTTGGTTCCAGGACACAAAACCATGGGTTTATGTACCTAAGAAGTTAGGCATTTTGAATGATAAAAATTAAATAGGTTGCAAAAAAACCTTACATAAAATCCTTAGGATTTAATAGTAAGTCAAGGCTAAATGCCTTTAGAGAATTCATATTTAAAATGTCCCAAATAACACTTCATTCACAAATTTTAAAAACAGTTGAAAAGGTCAGTAGAAATGTTTGTTAAATACAGTAAGTATCTAAACTCTACCCCTAATTCATCTAAACTTATGGTGGTTTCCTTCACTGGGGGCCTCTCTCAGTTCCTTCCTATCCTGCGACACCCCAACCGTTAACCGTCTCAGAATCCATCACTTACAATGTTTTAAGGATCCAACGATCCCTTTCAAGCTTTCTGTCTCCCCTGCCCTTTTCCCTCCCATCCAAATAAACAAAAAAAAAAAAAAAAAAAGGAGGGGGCTTATAGCTTAATGCAGGGAAGGCAGAAGGGTCTCCCAGGGAGTATGCGAAGCCAGAGCTGAGTCCTCCGAGGAGGAGGGAGGAAGGACAACAGAAAAGCGGGAGCCCGGAGTCACCCCCAGGGACCCGGCCCTGCAGACCCTGCACTGGGACGTGGTTCTTGACTCCTGGGCAGCTCTTCTCTCCAGCAAGAGGGCAAAGGCGGGGAAGCCACAGAGCAGTGGCGTGTCCAGGACTCTGCACTGTGCAGGAACAACGCTACGGCTGTCACGCACACAGACCCTTGTTTTGTGCGACTATGTGACTAAACCTGTCTTCAACAAGTCGGTCCTGGACTACGAGCTTACCTTCCCAATGAAATGACAAAGAAATAAAAGACAAAATAAACAGAACAAAATTAAAAACCAAAAGTCAAAAGAAAACAAAAAAGGGATGGTTCATAAAACCCATCCTAGGAGGAAGGCTCCGGGTCTTCGGGTTTCTCCGCCTCCCCCACCGCACCGTGCCTGGGTCCCGTAAGAGGAGCCAAGCAGGTGCCCGGGAGGGTGGCCCCCGCCCCGCTCCCGGGAGGTTCATCCATCGGACGCTGCCCGGCTGCCACCAAGCGCCCTGGCCTGCGAGCTCCCAACATGACCGGATGACCTCCCCTTATGGCCAGCGTGTTAGAAGTTTACTGTTAACATTGAAATGACAGCTTCCCCATCCTACAGGACCCTCCTCTCCCGGGCCTGTCCATCCCTCCCTCCCCTTCACACTAAACTCCTCTCCCAGCTCCTTCAGTAACAAAGCCTTCTGTTTGCAGAACTTAGCAAAATGCTATTTCAGAAAAAAAGCTGGATGCAGGATCTAAGCTCTGTCACAATTCAGAAATGCTACAGAACCGAGCTTAAACAACTTTGTCCGGGACCTTTACAAATCATGTTAAGAACTACCCACATTAAAAACAGTTACGATGAAACCACTTCCCGCTCCCAACCCATAGACTCTCCTCCAGCAAGGCAGGGTGCAGGCACCTATATAGGGTGCTGCCTGTCCTGAGAGGGGGGAACCCCTCAAAATTTCTCTTGGAAAGAAGAGATGAGAGTTATCCTTCAGAAGAGTGTCGGCATAGGATTTAACAACGGGCCAGATGGATGGCAATGCAGTGCTATGTTCAGATACGTGGCTAAGTGAGCTGCTATTACATCACAAAATCAAAACAAGGCAATGCAAAAAGAAAGAGAAAAGTAACTTGGTGCCACATAATTATCTGCTGCTTCACGTTATGAGATATCTTGGTATTTACTGCCATTAGGCTTTTTGATTTTGTGAACAAATAATACACAGATCAGGATAAATGTATTGACTTACTACCATCTTTATAAAAATCGAATATACACACAAACACATCAACAATTATGGAACTGGCTCCATTAAACTTTGATACGACAACACAAAAGAACTAACAAATAGCTAAGATGTTGCTGAGTTGAAAGCATTCCCAATGACGTTTTAATTTTAAAAGGTCCGTATTTACACAGTAGGCTAAATGCTTCTGCATCTCATCTTAAATGCATGATAAATAAGAACAAAGATAATGGTTGCAGCAGATCTCCCACGAGGGTTCAGCTTACGCGGTCTGACTTCACTGCGAGAAGCGCAAAGCGCAACAAAAATGGAAATAGCGTTGCTTTCTAATTCTGCTTCTTCCCTTTTCTGCAGTTTCCGTAAAGGAAACTGACTCTTATTACTGGGATGGTCTGGTACTAAGAGCCCATTTCCAATGGTCGTTTTCAGTAAGAGCGGCGGGACTGCGTGTGGCTGTTCTCACCGGTGCTTTAGGACAGGCCGGGAGACTTTGCTGATGGCCTTTCCGGAGCGTTCTACCAAGAGAAAGCTTGTGTGTGTGTGTGTACAGTTACAGACACACGCCTTCCCGGTCCCTGCCACACTCGGCACCAAAAGCAGACCTTACGGCAGCGTGAAGCCTGAGAACAGTGGTGCCCACACCGGTCGGCCTACTGACACTGGCGAAGCGTGCTTCCATGCCTGCTTCTCAGAGACTACGTGCAGACTTTTGGTTTTTAAACCACAGCACGCTCAGATCATTTCAGAAAGTGGTAAAAATTTGTTAAACTCATTTTATTGCATCGGGAAGTTTTCAATAATAAAGTAAGTTGGTAAGCCTTCCCACTACACTTGGGCACTAAGTGGTTTGGAGTTCTCTTTAAAATTAGAGCCCATAAGCTACCAAACTCATCAATTCAACGCAACTCTCTGTGGACTGAGATAAATAAACTACGCCTTTTAAATATATAAACACATCCGTATCTACCTGTGAACACAGTGGGTACCGATGGCCGAGGAACCCACTGACGGGCACAGGGACGCGTGGACGCCCTCCTGCCGGCACCGTGAGGCAGGGCTGGCTTACAAGCCCGTCTTCCAGAGGCCGGTCAGAGGCTTTCTGGACCAGAGGTGGCCGGCTCCGCAGCTGCAGGTGTCTAGCACAGCCTGCGGGTGCCCGTGGCTTCCTGGGAACAGCTGTTTCTGAAGAGCAGCTGCCAACAACCACCTGCAGCTTCTCTTAAGCACACGATGCCATTTTAGAATCAATGCTACAGAAAGTCTCACAGGGTCTGGAATATTCTCCTCTAGTTCTTAATATTGTCTTGGTAACTTAATTTGAAAAAAGATATAAAATTTCAACTGTGGACACAGAGGAGACAAGCCTTGTGCCCTCATCCTCAGCCCCTCCTTCTGGAGACTGACAGCCCGGGGGCCGCACTCGCTCGAGGCAGTGAGTGGTAACAGGCTTCTGGATCCCTTAATTCTATTAACAAATGTGACATGAAATCGTAGGTATAAAACATCGCTAAAAAGTCTGAGCATGCCCTAGTATTATTTGCTCAAATAGTTCACGTCCACTTTAGAATATCCAAAGTAGTGAAACGCTTCATGAGCAGAAGACAATAAGGCACTTTTTTCAGTGTTCGCCCAGAACAGACTCCACTAAGGTTTCTTATGCAGAGTAAGTCTCACCTAAGGGAACCTACCCAGAACTACTAAAAGCAGTTTCAACGATGACACGGACACATCTCAGCCTGGGCCACGCTGTCCCTGGAAGACAGCCGCCCTCGAGCCACACGCCACGGACGGCGCCACAGCGTCGCCCCACTCTCAGGTCCAATAAAGGACGGTGCAGCCCCTGCTCAAGTGGCCTTTGGGGAAAAAGGGCGATCAAAGCAGTGATAACCGGGCTCCCAGAGAACGTCCCATATCGCAGAGCCAGAGAGACAGACACGCCGCCCTGGACTGCATTTAAAAAGAGAGAGAACACTGGACAGGTCTGTTCTACTTTCAGGCTGTTCCTCCACCTCCAGGGCACGGCAGACCGTGCTCTGTGCCACGCCAGGGGCCTGCCAGCACTCTCGCCTTACTGGGGAAGAGTGTGAAAAAGTGGGCAGTTCACCTCGGGACTAGGAGCATACAGTTGGCGCTTTAGAAATATCGACAAGAAGCAGAATCTCCGTTCAATTGGCACCACTCCCAACCACCCCACTCATACCCTGGCTTTCCAGGATATGCAAATGTCGATCAATAATCACCCAAATTTTAATCTAGGTTTTTACAAGAGCCTTTTGAGGGCTTTCTGAGGAGACCACTCAAGCTAAGCTTGGTTGAGAAGACTCTTTTCTAGCCTGCACTGAAGATAAGTGCAACCATTATCAAATATTCTTTGCTGTGAAAAATACTTGGAATTTGTGACATTAATGTTCTTTCCTGAATCTAAGTTACTGTGATCGATCAGTCAGATCACGAAGAACAACGTCTACATGCATCGTAAGCACTTTGAAAACAAAAGAAAACGAAAAACTTGGAGTTCTTTGCGGTGACAACAGAATCTGAAGCAATCAGCCTAACACCAAACTCCAGCTCGCTGTGCAAGTTCAGCTCTTCTCCGTCAACCCTGCGGCTGGCTGGCGCTCTAGACAGCAGCCCGGAGAGATCTAAGCTCCTGGGGATTCTGCGCCGGCTGGCAGCTCTCTTGAAGAAATCCCCCAGTGTGTGTACAGCACGAGGTCAGGTCTCCTGCTAGAAGTCACTCCACGATCAGGGCCACATTTATGTGGGATAAATCTATCATATGCCTGCGAAAATTGAAGGAAACGATCAACGGTAACTCTGCACGTCAGCAATCGGTTCACCAATGCTGACCGACGAAAGCCTATCCCAGCAGCAGGCAGCTTCGCGGAGGAGATCTACTCAAAACAAGGGCTGATTCTCCACCTGGCGAAGGGCAGCTCTGCCTGACGAGGAGGTTTGCCGTTTGCTCTGTGTCCTGCTGCACTTCTGCGGCAACAGGAGCACCTGCTGCGGCAACAGGGACAGCACGGCACAGAGCCCCTCCCGCGCCCACTCCACCGCGAGTACAGAGCGCACCGCTACCTGTGGAATTTCTGCTGGAACGCTAACGCGTGGGCTGGCTCCTTGAACTTAGCTATGGCTTTCCGCTGCTGGGGAAGCATCTGTAAACTCTAGAGGAAGAAAACAGAGAAACATTTTAATATCACATTGTGAATGGTAAAGATAAAAAATATGTATATTCATACATTATTAGCTTTAATACAATATTTGAGTCCAGGCTGACACTTAGAGCACTAAAACAAACTAACTTTCCTTTCTGTCTCCCTGGCAGCTTTTCTTCCCTATCCAGATAATCTCCCCCAAAGCAGTGCTTTCATAAATCATTCCCACAACAGCACTGACAGCCCCCCGCCTGGTGTTCAGACCTTCCGTCGCCTCGCCACCCTGGCTGCCCAAGTCGTCTCTGCGAGAGCCGGCGGCAGGTGCCCTTGCGTATCTTCCTACGAAGTGAGTTTCAGTGGGCCCCTCACTCATCTTTTTGAAGACCAACCCCCATCACATCAGAGGCTGCCGCTGTCTGCTGAGGGGACCTCCTGGTCTGCAGCAGGCAGCCACCCGAGTTTACATCCCGGACATCCAGGTGGGCCACACAGGGGGGCGGCTGTGCCTGCGGTTGCCATCGGCATGATGCGGTCACACTGGGTACTTAAAAAGTTTTGAGATTACCAAGTGGTTTTTTTCTTTTTCTTTTTTTTTTTTTCAGACAGAGTCTCACTCTTTTGCCCAGGCTAGAGTGCTATGGCGTCAGCCTAGCTCACAGCAACCTCAGACTCCTGGGCTCAAGCAATCCTCCTGCCTCAGCCTCCCGAGTAGCTGAGACTACAGGCATGCGCCACCATGCCCGGCTAATTTTTTCTATATATTTTTAGTTGTCCGATTAATTTCTTTCTATTTTTAGTAGAGATGGGGTCTTGCTCTTGCTCAGGCTGGTTTCGAACTCCTGAGCTCAAACAATCCGCCCGCCTCGGCCTCCCAGAGTGTTAGGATTACAGGCGTGAGCCACCGCGCCCGGCCTCCAAGTGGTATCTTAAATTAAATCTTTAGGAGTTCCAAGGGAGTCATCACCCTTTTACATAAAAGTACTATTCCAGAAGCCATTCTTTGTAGCAAAAAGCAAATGAGTTCATGAAGATCAACTGAAAGAAATGATAAACTCAGTAAAGACGCACAGAGACACATCTGAAAAAGGCAACTTAGATCTACTCCTCAAACTCACTGTGAGGAAGAGAACTGTGTTGTCTTCCTCAGGCCTCAGAGCCGGGATTCAGGGGTGAGGGGCAGGCAGGACAGCCTGGCCATCTACCAGGTGATGCTCTGTGGCGCTCAGGCAACCCCAACCTCCAGAGTGTGGTCCTCCTCAGTTATCTCATGGCCGTCAACTTAATGCTCCTGTGTGTGGGGCACAGAGCAGGTGTCACTGGGCAGCTCTGGTGCGGGGCTGGCGCTGTGCTGAGGAGCTGCACTCGGCAAGGCATTGCAGTGCCTGGAACTATTTGCTGCGTCTGGGTTTCTGTTCAGTGCAATACGATAGCTAGGGAAGTAACTAATAGTAATACGTAGTCCTTTAAAAGTATTTACACCATTTAAAGTATTTTTCAAAAGTCTACACTGGAAGCACACAGCTAAAAACATCAACTACTTCGAAAACGTTCAAAAAAGTTATACAGCATATGAAATAACTGCTCTCCATTTTAATAACCATAGCACTTCTACCAGCAAACAAGACTAGCAGAGCTCTAAAAAAAATACTCATTCTATGAAGCTGTCTTTCAGTGCTCCCGTAACAGCGTTTACGCATCACTACAACGTGTCAAGTCTCCACGTTACAAAGCATTGCTGAGGTGTGCGCGGGCCACGCCCCAGGGCGGCCCACGGCCGGGGGCTCCACGAGGCCGCCCAGCATGCAGGCCCCTCAGGCGCCGTGACAGCAGCAGACCGGGACTGTTTTCTCTGAAACAAGTTTAGTAAAACGCCAGACTTTCTCCCTTCTTTCTGATATTAAAAAAATGGATGCAGAAGAATTTTCTTGATTGTTTCACTTATCATTAACAGGAAAAGTAAAGCCCCCAAACTTGGTCTCTTGGGTACATTCTCGGCAATACGGCTTTTCTGGCCTCTGAAATTCTGCTGCGTTCCTGGATGGAGACTCGTGTCCCTCCCAACCCAGCAGACTCATCTTCAGCCTGCCCCCGTCCTGTGCGTCGTCCTGCAGGTGATTTTCAGTTGCTGCAACTATGGAGAAGCTTCCACGGAGAAAATGCCGCTCTCTTCTGTGACCAGGTGAGGGCAGGACAACGTCAGGAAGGTGTCATCCATCAGCCACAACAAGGGCGGAGCACTCCTCACGGGCACAGCCCTGCCTCTTGTGTCCTGTCTGTCTCCACAACAGGGCCCTTGTGCTCAGGCCTCGATGACTCAGAGGGATTTCAGCAACACCCCGAAGTGACCGTAACTTCTCATTAACCGCTGCCCACACTGCGGCAGATCTGACGGCACCAACTAGAAGATTTATCTCATCTGAACTTATCTTGTTAGTAATATAAAAATCGCTCAATTAGGAATGGACAAGAAGAACTAATTTTATACATCACAATTATCAACATTCTATAATTCGCAGATGGAATGTGCATATTGAAAACACATGCTCTTCTTTTGGGAAAACCCATTTCTACATGTATGTGGTGATTTTATTCCCTTTGGGTGATTTCACCATGAGAAACGAAGGTATGAGGCTGCCGAGGGTAGTGTTTGATGCAAGAAGATCCATTTATTTGTGATCTAAGCGGCTTAAACCTCCATCTGACCGAGGAGGTCGGAGCAGAAGCTTCCAAGGAGACTCCGCAGTCGGAGGGGCGACCCAGCCTTCGAACACGCAGCACAAGGAGCAAGGGCAGCCTGAACATGCGCGTCCTGCCTGCTGTTCACATTTTCGCTCCTTCTTTCAAAAGCAAACCCTATTTTCTAGGTATAAGATGGGATTGCAGAAATTGTCAATATTCAACCATTTCTGACCTACCAAAATGATACATGTCAGTGATTTCTTTACTAGGAGCAGAAGGAATGAAACTAGGTATCGAAAGCTGAAAGACTTTTGATCACCAGCTTCCATTCTGAAAATACGTACTGCCACCATCCAGCAACATATTTTCATAGAGTTAAAAACTTGTTTTTGCCCACAACAAACCAAAAGTTAAGATCTGTCTCAAGTCTACATGTTCACTTGTAAAGAACTACTCTCTTTCACCTCCCACTCCAAAGTAACTTGCTGGCAGGCACAGGGAAAAGGTTCACATACCAGATTTCACCCTGATTGACTTCATTTTTCAGAGTAAAGACGTCTTCAGACAATTTCTGAGGGTAACTGCTGTGCTACTATAAATAAGTAGCAATACAAGTAGAAAGAATACTCCTTCGGTTGGCAGCTTCCTGCACTTACGTCCAATAATCCCATCCAGAACCACTGATAAACCGCCATACTGCGCTACATTAACAGTGAAAAGCTTCAACAACCTGTAAATTAATTTCAGAAAAACTTCCATGTGGTTCAGAATCCTAGCCTCTTTTCCCCATTAAAAGTTCTTCACAGGCCGGGCGTGGTGGCTCATTCCTGTAATCCTAGCACTCTGGGAGGCCGAGGCGGGAGGATTGCTTGAGCTCAGGAGTTTGAGACCAGCCTGAGCAAGAGCGAGACCCCGTCTCTACTAAAAATAGAAAGAAATTAATCGGACAACTAAAAATATATAGAAAAAAATTAGCCGGGCATGGTGGCACATGCCTGTAGTCCCAGCTACACGGGAGGCTGAGGCAGAAGGATCGCTTGAGCCCAGGAGTTTGAGGTTACAGTGAGCTATGATGACGCCACTGCACTCTACCCAAGGCAACAGAGTGAGACCCTATTTTTTTTTTTAAAGGTCTTCCCAGGAAGAATCTGTGCATGTGTGCACATATATGTGCATGATTGGGGTTGTATGTACATGGTATGCATAGAGATAAACTAAAGTGTTGCAGGGATTCTAAAATGATTCTGCAGTCTTAAAAATCAAATTTTTTTCTCTCTCTGGCCAACAATTCCTAGCACCTTAAGGAACTACCTAAAGTTAAAAAATAATATGAGCTGTTTTTAAACACAAATGAAGCTGCTTAAAATAAGCCTAATTTATAAATCGCTAGAAATGCCCAGACAGGAATCAGACACCAGAGGGGTTGGGGCAGGGACCCAAGTGAGTGCCCCCCACAGGGGTGGTCTGGGCAGCCAGGCAGAGCCCTGGGGAGCCTCCTTGCAGTCGCGGGCGGCGCTGGGAGCATCCCGTCTCCCACCGAGCGCAGCCCGCCGTGTGCCCCCAGCAGCCCCAGTTCTCGACTGTTCTGTACGAATGGCGCAGTCCCCTCTGTATAGGTCACGGTGGGATCTCCTGTTGGCAGCAGTGCCTGCAGTCTGCACGACACTCCAACAGCAGGCCGGGGAGTGACAACACGAGTTCACGCCAGCTCGCAGGGCGGCTCCGGCACACGCCGACCCCCGCACCGTCTCCCGTTCACGCGAATCCTCACACGTGTTGGGCCTCTCTGGATGCCGGTTCTGGTGTCTTCTCTGAATCTCAGGGTCTGCGCTTTCTCTCACGCCCACGTCATCACTGCCCGTGCCCTGGAGCAGTGTTCCTTTTGCTATGATGCAGTTCTGACGCTTTTACAACCTCTGCTCTTTCACTGGCATCACGGTCGGCGCATCAGACTCACACATACTTACCCTTAAAACACATGAGCTCCTCAGAGTTCCGTATTCCCACACGGCTCTCCTTAGAATCCTTTTCCTTCTGGAATTATTCACAGCGCTGCTTTCAGAACCCAAGGGTGGGCCTCCGTTCGCAAGCCTTGCTGTGCTGTTCCAGGTCACGTGACTGGGCCTCCCACCCTCGTGACGGGGCTTTGCAAAGTCTACACTGACCAGGCCTGTGCTCTCTTTTTCGGTTGTCCAAAACTCCAAGACAACTGACCCGCTTTTACTTGAGATTCCACTGTTTTCCATCACCGGTCAGGCCTGCCTGGCCAGCCAGACCAGGGGCAGGGCAGGTGTCTCTCACGTGGTGGCCTGAGAGCCCCTCCCCAAGTG